TTCAAACCTACTTTCATAAAAATTATTACCTGTCTCCCTTGGAAGCTTTGTAAATGCTACATTTTTTGTATTGGCAGAAAAATTTGGAATGTATCTGGAAGCTCATATGTGATATGAAGTGAGTTTGGAAATTCATGTAAACTCTCTATAATTAAAACACAAATATAAAGAACACTGGATTTTTAATCCAGTTGTGTTTTGGGAAGTAATGCTTCATTTAAGAAGAATGAACAATATTTAGGGGAATAATTAATTTTTCTATTTTCATGTGCCTCGAAAAACTTAATTAAATCAGAACTAAATCTTGACAAAACTAAACACCACCAAATGACAGCAAATGCTTATCTACTTTGTCCCATTAACAAGACTTGAAGTAAAAAAAATGAGAATGTCGAGCGTGAAACTTTTCTTAAGTGAAGGTTTTTCTAAACTGTCACATAACATTTAAAAAATATTTTTAAAATTCTCATGGTGGATAGAGCTCTCCAGAAAATTCATTCTATAAGCTTGAGTGTGTTGGCTTTTAGTACAGTGTAAGGTTCTATCTATAGACAATTTGAAATAAGTCAATTTTTCATTTTCTTTAGCTTATTTGAGAAGTCAGGTTTTATATTTGTTCACCAATATGAAATTACTTCATTCACTATTTAAAATTATTTCATCAATTATTTGTATTAAAAAGAAGAAGAGTTTTTTTCTACTACACTTTCATCTACTACTTAATGTGAATATTTTAAATTCACTGTAGCTGGTCTTTAAAGTTACATTGTTCTTATTCTGTGCTTTGGTGGAAAGTTCTAATGCTTCCCAAGCTTAAAAAAAAACTGTCTTGCAGGTGTTCTTTATTTATAGTTGAAAATGAAAGTCACTTAACAAATGCAATTATTCTTGATCAATTGTATTTATTCCCCATCCAAAAAATAATCTCAGACTTAAATGTGGCCATGGGCCTTTGCAGAAACAGTTGGTTTAAGCTTCAAAGAAAATGCCTCTTTCCTCTCCATTAGCATGGGGATTTTTTGTACAAGAGAGAATCTTACAAAGCCTATGAGTTGGCATAATGGCACTGATTCTGTGGTTGTAGGAAACTTCCTAGTTAAATAATTATCTACTTCATAATGACAGCTAATAACAACGGGGTAGCAATATGAAAAGAAAACAGTATCAAGAAGAAAGTTTCTAGAGCAACAGGTTATTCTTTTCAATAAATGTGGAGCACAGCTATTCCTTCTCTCTGTCCCCTCTTTCATGAGGAATTTGTCTTGGACAGGCTTGGAGTTACCAGTCTTTTAAATACTATTCAATCCTTTAAGTACTATTATATGATGTTTTCCAAACCATGGAATAGACATAATGGCAAGGAACAGATACCTTTTGTAAAGGATAAACAGAACAGTGTGGTGTTTAAGTCATGCATTATTGAAAATGTTTCCCAAGGAGCCAGCTCATTTAGGTAATTAGAAACTAGTTTGTTAGTTTTCCATCCTGAGGCCAAGCTCAGAATAGATAACTATCTAATAAAGCTTTTTGCCATGAAAATGGCTGCTGCCATAGGTTTGATTTTGAAGACTTAGTAAATAGTTTACTGTAACAATGTTTAATTTTTGAAAAATCTGGACATGAAGTATAAGAGAGGTGCAGTTATTAGGAACCAATTGTAAGAAAAAATTAGTTATGTTTACTAGCCTTTACAAACTGGCTTTCTATTATTCAGAACACAAAATAGTTTTTATATAATAGTATTTATTTGAGAAATCATAAGTAAGTAGCTTCATCTTTCCTTCTGCTCTGTGATATTTTGTCTCCTTTCAGCTGTCTAAGCATTTCATGAACAGACCAAGGTCATCTCTTGCTAATCCATTATTAGTTAAGCAACATGTACTTCCATTCTTACCTGGTGTAATAAAACAGGGCAGAGGCAGTAGCTAGGGGTGGTTCCTTACATTAAAAAGCAATTTCACCTTTTATAAGAGTGTTATGAATATTCAGAACCAAAAAAAAGTATCTGAATAATCCATTATTGAAAATAATATTTTGGCAAGCCAATGGGTGAAAGTATGAACTGAATGAAAATAAGTATGCAAGAAAAGAAAGATACCAGAAGCTTGTAGATAAATTACTTCATTTAACTATACTTAAATATCTGCCTACACTTTTGTCATAAAAAGAAGCATATGGTAGTATCCTCATGTTCTATGGCAATATGACAAAATTAGACACTCATTCCATAACAGGAAAATAAAATACTGGAAATTTTTAAAAGTCCTGAGAACATTGTATTTTTCTCTTTTAGTAATCAAAGTTTAAATTAATACATACTATTATTTGCAGTTACTTCTTGAGACTTACACCAGCCTCTAATAAATTGTTAACCTTTCATATCAAAGTGAGCCTAAGAAATCACTGAGTCCCTCTTTTGCAAAAGTTATGTAGTACAATTAAACAGTTGTATACTTTGGATTAAGAAAGGCAGCAAACAGCAGAAAACAATAATGAAAATAATGATTCTCACAGTAAGTATTCATTGGCACAAGCTGAGATAAAAGAACACCATACAGTTTTTTCAATAACATATCTTTTCAATTTATTTCTAAATTGATGCGAACAACAGTTTAGTCTATCAAAAGAAAGTGTCAACACAGACTCTTGAAGAAATTGTGCTTTATGTGCATAAAAACATTTATTTAAATATATATAAAGTATGACATTTCCCACAGGTGTTTCTTTTGTGTGTTCTTTATTCTTTCTCAAGGTTTTTATATCAAATAACAAAATAGAAGAGTATTAACTGATAAAAAGTGCAAGAGATTAGGAAATCTAAATTATAAATAACATGGCAAATAATTAATGAGGAATGACTGACTAGAATTTGTACGTCTAAAACAATGAAATATCTTTTTGTAATCTTTTCAAGTATACAAAAAGATTGCAGTTGTTTCACATACAAATTTTTAACAGGAAAGTAAACTAATAATTTTTAATAAGTCAGTCATATTGAAGGGTGCACCTAGCTGTGATAATTGTCTGTCCATATTTCCTTGTGATTAAAACAAACAGGATAATAAAAAAAATAACCATTAAGCAGATAAAAGAAAAACTGAAATTTAGACTCTTTTGAAGACATGGCCTGTATTTATATCTATATATATATAAAATAGTCTTTTATATCCAGGAAGACAATGAATGAACTCCTCAGGACTGTTTTTCCTTCTAACCAGCAGCTAAAAGGAGGAACAACTTTTCTCACACTTGCAGACACCAGTTCTCAAATTCTGCTGCCATATGTGCTAGAAACTTTTTTTGCTTGCATTTTACATAATCATCCAGTTTCATAAAGGAGAATCTGCTTTCTGCCTAACCCTTTGCAATGTACTTACTTTGAAGGGATGGCTTTATTTTTGATATACTGACATAATTTCATATTTGGAAGCTTGGAAGGGGTTACTTTAATCACTAGGGGAAAGCATTCATATGTTTTTTAGTTTAAAATCTGGTCTATATGTTATACTTCTTGTACATATGGGTTTTTTTCATTGATTATAGTTTATGAAGACAGTAAACCTCAATGAAAACAGAAGAAATTGTGAACTTTTACCTCTCATATCAGCAGTTAAAATAGACAGGTCCTAGGTACATTTAGAAGGATGTGGGTTCTCATGTAAAACTGTGTAAGGAGTATCTGACCTTAATACTACCAATTCCAATTAACATTGGAACACGAATGTTCTTTGGAGTCTTTATTTAATTCCTCTATCAAAACATTGGTTTTGATATAAACACTCTTCTGCTTTATTATATCATGTCAAAAAAAAAGGCTCCCTTCTGGGTGATAGTGATAGATCTCAAAATGTGCAACAGGGTTTTTGTATTACAGCTTACTTTCTGATATATTGACTTAGAGAGCAGATCTCTTCAAAATGAGCCCCTTAAAGTAAGTGCATTCTTCCTCTCATATATTTACCGTCTTTGATAAATCCAAGTAGGACCTGATGATAGTAACTCTAAAAATATATTCATTTGTTCCGTGCCTGCTGAATATATGGTCTACAATGGATAGCACAGAGTTAATTTTATGATGGTTCAGATGCTTCTGGTCTAGCTTTGAGAATAAAGGAGAATATACCTGGCTACTTATGGTCAAAGCTATCATTCTTGCAAATGATGAACTTGGATGCTAGGGTTTGTTGCCTTTTGGTTTGGGTTTGTTTTGTTTTTTTTTTTTTTTTTTTTTTTTTTTTTTTTTTTTTCTTTTTATGATCTATTTCCTTTGAACAGACTTTATCTTTCACTTTGGAGATAACCTAGTATGGTCACATTATCTCATTGCAAGTCAAATAGAATGTAGCAATTATCCTTGACTGGATAAGATGTGTCTCAGTTAAGGAAGAAAATGTTGGACTGCAGTGAGGAGCACCTGAAGGTTCAGTAAAGCATCAGGCAAGCATACTCTGAACATTTACTGTGTCAATGTCTCCTGCATACATGGACATAAAAATCTCCTAGCCTTACAAATACGTCTTTGTAGACATAATTTTATTTTCCAGGCTCTTATCCTTATGTGGAAGGTGGACTGCCTCAGTCATCTAATGTATTGTGATTAGGCATATTATTAAGTGGCTCATAGCAGACAGATTTCCAAAAATATCCCTCTGCATATTTCCTTTCCCACAAACATGAGCATTAATTTAATGCTCTAGTGGAAGGTACAACAACTGCCTTTATGTGCCCAGGATAGCCTTGGATTTTCAGATTTCCCAGCACTGAGGCCCTTATTCCAAATTGCCCAACTGTAAACAAAAACAAGTTCCCAGAGGGAACTTATTCCCCCTAACACTATGTTGAGAACTACAACCTTCCATCACTTGAAATTTCAGGAGCATCTACATATTTTCTAAATTCTTTCCCTAAATCCTTTAGGGTCCAGCTCTCCACAGGTTCCCCAAAAATTCACAGCTAGGACTTCCAAGCAAAAATTTCACATGTATTTATTCAGCACTTACTGAGAGAAGATGATCCAGCAGTTTCTTATTCAACTCACGATGTTCTTCTGTACAGCCATCCAAAATGTAAAATTGTCCTGATGTAACCCTTCTGCATTTTTTTCTCAGTCTGTAGGTCTGTGGCAGTTTTCTTGACAGATAATGATGCCCTATTTTCCAGCTGCACAGGAGATCTTGTAGGTAAAATGTTCTCATTTTCATGTTTCTCCCATAGAAACAGGATGTTTTCTTGTTCAGGGGATCATGTTCAACATTTCTGATCAGTACAAAGTGAAGCAGTAGAGGAAGCAGAATTCTGTTAAGAGTCTTTGGCTCTGAGTAATCATGAAGAGCCAATGGTGCCAGGAATAAATCACATGAAGAGAAATACTTTGAGCATAGGAATGGAACTGTGAAAACCTCACTAGAATTGGAATGCTCCAGAAACACAGAGAACAACTGGAGAAGATTTAAACAGCACCTAACTTTTGGGTACAGACATAGAATTACAGAATGAGGGAATTATTGCAGTTTTAAAAAGCTACAAAGCTTCAATTCTAAATGGCTGTCTGCTCCTAGCCCATGCAAAACACACTAAAATATGTAAGTATAGGAAAACTTAGAAGTAGGAAAAAAAAAAAAAAAGCCTAAGCCAAACCAACAAACCCCAATGTTTTTTCTGAGCCATAAATCTTTTTGAAAGTCAGTTCAGGGATATGCACTAGCCAATACTCCATATTCCACTTCATTTACAAAGACAGTTGCATGCACAGAGACACTGAAATGCAGCTCACATGTCAAGTGGCCTATGTGTTACCAACCAAGTTATTGCAATCTATTGTAGACTGATCTATGAAAATCTTCAGCAGGGGGCCCTGGGAGGGACTCAAAAGGTAATATCAGATTTTGTGATATCTGATTTTGAAGACATTCTCTTTCTTAGAATTTTCCAACTTATTGCAAGTAAACTAATTATGAAATTAATACCTGGTTCTATGAGCAGGAAATATGTATGTTAAACATGTGAGCAACACCCACCTTCCACACCGAGAACTGTAAACCCACATCAAAACAGAAAAAAACAACCAAAAGACAAACAGTGAAAGAGAAGACAGTAGAGATCAAAATTTGCCATTTTGAGTCTGATGAAATCCTATATACATGGAAGGTTTTGTTTGGAAATTCATACACCTATATGGCTTTGAATAAGCTACATCATATTCTGGTTTGAATCATTTGATATTTGATACCAGCTGAGAGAGAAAAAAAAAAAACAAAAAAAATGTAAGTTAAGTCTTCTCAGTCCTGAGGTGCTGAAATTATTACCTGCTCGTTGCTTGCATTTACTGGATGCTTAGCACTCCAAGCTGTGAGGAGAGCTCAACTATGGAAATACTTTTAAGGTTTTGCTGTAGCAAGGATATAAACCTACAGCTGAAAAGCAAGTGTGTGCATTTCTGAAGGAAAACCACCCTTCTTGTGCTTTATGACACTGAAATGTGACATTCATTTAATGCAAACTTGTAATTTTCTGGGTGTCTTAGGTTATAATGTATAATGTAAAAACAGAAGTATGTATTTTATTACCATCCTCTTAAGCTGTTAAAAACATGTGGAGCAGTGTTCTTTATCTCTTCCATGACTTGTCCCTGATAACTCCCTCTGGGGCTATCTCTGCTAACAGGCCATCAAACATCAAAATTACATCATCCCATTGTGAGACCCTTCACCCAGGGGGATGAATCAAGCACTCCTACCTGGATATAATCTGGACTTGGAACACCATGGGCAGCACTACCCACTGGATTCCAAGAAGAAAAGAGCTTCATAATCAATACTGGACCTCCAGAAAAGAACCAAATTCACTACAAGATCACCACTTCAACAGAATAATTTTCATCATTCCAACTGGACTGCAGCCATCATTTAATCAGACTTCTAGTAACACCCTGACCAACAGGGTGTCAGGTCATATCCTGACTGCCATTTTAAAGTCAGTGTTTCTATATTATTGTCTTTATCTTGATTTTCCTATTAAATTCTAATTCTGACTAGGCATCTCCTGCTGGTTTGCTTTCAAACTAGTACACTGTGACTTCTGGTATAGTCCAGCTATCAAATGTAACACTTTGGGAGTTGCAATTCAATGAAATTTGGTTTTCTGAACCAAACCAAACCCAACCAAACCCAACCAAACCAAACCAAACCAAACCAAGCCAAACCAAAAGCAGTCTTTCCGTTCATTTCTGTCTCTAAGGTCCTAATAAGTTGTTCAACTGCAGCCACTTCAGAGATGGACAAATGAAGAACTATTAATGGTATTTTTCCTGAATGGGTGACAAAATATAGAAATACTAGTTTTCTGAAAATAAAAAATGACTGCACAAAAGTCACATCAGATGAATAGTGGAGCAGAGTTTCTTTGGCCTTCAGGCTTTAGCATTTAAAAAATAAAATAGGAATAAAACCTTAAATAGTGTACATAAGGCAAGACACAAAAGAAGATGCAGAGATTTTTCAAAGATTTTTCATTCTGTTTTATGTTTCTGTCCGGTTGCCAAGGTTTAAATAGGACATCTAGTTTAAAAAGAAGAAAAGTCAGAAATGCTTTGCTTCTTATCCTTTATTTAAAAAAGAAGAAAATAAAGTTTGAAATGAGAAGGCAGAGGTTAGAAACAATATTATCTACTGATATTAAGATAGAACAGGGATAGCTTTTTGCTGGGGGGATAGCTTTTTTTACTGTCTGTTGAACCAGGAAATACAGGGTAGAGACTTTACATTTAATTGGTAGTGTTTTTCTGGATTCATTTCTTGTCCAGAAATTTTAAGGAGAAAGGAAATTATATGTATATACATTTCTCTAAAGATTTTAAAAGTAAAATTAAAATGCACTTCAAAGAGAAAATATGTGCCTCCAGAACATGCTTCTTTTATCTAGATAAGGTAAGGAGATGTTGAATGATAACAGGAGGTTTTTAAGGTGATTATTAGTTGCTCAGTGGAACATCCTTTATTATTATCTGCAAAATTTAAAAAACAGTTGTTTTTAAGAAAAGAAAGTCTAGAGACTGTCAGAACACATTCACAGTTTTAAGTTTTTGGAAAGTACAAAAGCCCAGACACTAGTCATACCCACACATCTGAGAATAGGCACAGAAACCTCACAAAACATGTTAAATATCAACTCAGTAATAGCATAGTGGAGACTAGACACAGTAGACAGTGTCTGTGTTGTCATAATGTTCAATACTGGCATGGTTAGAAGGTTCATACCCTCAGTTGTGGCTCTTGACCAGTCTGAAAAAGCTTTTCCTTGTCCCATAGCTTGAAGCTCAGGAAAATTATGACAAGCCAAGGGACAAGGACCTGCTTCTACAATTAGAACAATACTTACATGAGTTTTCAACTATGTAGAAAGGTGCAACACAAGACATGACTCTTCCACATAATACACACAAACATTCTCTACATAAATCCTATCTCTTCTTCAACTTCTTTAGCATAAATTCTTAGATATTGAAAACCTTCTTCTTTCACATTAAAGTTATCACTGATTAGTATTGTTCACAGAGAAAGAAAATTACATTGTTCCAGTCACTGTATTTGACCATAGTGACCACTGATAATAAAAAAATAATGTCAACTTTTCAAAAGGCTAAGAAAAAATTTTTCATAAGATGACCATCATGGATTTACTGCTTACAAATTTCCAGATTAAGGTTATCAAGTATCCTCTGCTTCCAGCCTTGACATCCACCACTGTCATAGGTCATGGAACTGTAAGTGTGGTAAGAAACTATCAGAACCGTTCTCATGCTTCTGTTCTTTGAAAGTGCAAATTTCAGCTTACTGCTGAACACCTTCTGAGTTCTATTAAAAGAATGAGGACACATGCCAGACTAGTTCAGAACTGCCAAGAATCTATAAGAGTGATTTAGAACTAGGAATTTCTATCATGGCTATGATCTTAATCTTGTCTTGAAACTAAAGGGCTATATGCAAAACAAAACAAGAATTAAAAAAACCAATCTGAAGATAAAACATGTAGAACTCATTCAATTCATAAAAGAATGTATCCAGTTCCTTCAAGAAAATTATACTGAAGGTAACTTCCATTTCAGTCTATATACAAGTATCTAAGGCACACAGAGGTCACAGGAAAAGGCAAATATTCCAACATTAGTTGGAAGCACAAGAAATGGTGCTGCGAAGTATGCATGTTGCTTCAACATAATTTCTTGATGAATGAGGACTATGTGTACTTGAGATGTCTCTACAGGAGTCTAATAATATTTTAGTCACTAGGGTATCAATGGTAAAGAGGAGACTAGAATAGAAGAACATTTAAGCTAAAATACTTGAGTTGAGCGAGGACTTCTTTTAGTGTCTATGTATTATCTGTCTATGCAGGTAATGTTTTAAGTCACAGTACAGGAAGAGATTAAGTATCAATTTAATATATACCAAATGACAGAAAAAACAGGACCTTTTGAAGAGATTTTGTAGGGAATGCAAGCCCTTCTTTCAGCTTTAAATTGAAGAAATAGTTGCAGCCTAGAGGACATTAGTTTTTGGAAGCTGTGTCCTTGACAGCTTACATACAGTATCTATCACTTAGATATCTGCCATCAGGGACTGGCAGGCATAGAAAAGAAGGCGTTCAGACAGTTTTTAATGCTTCTGGCAAGTACAAACTCCTTTTGGTTTAAGCCCACTGAGGACTTAAATCAGTAACATCCACAATGCAGACAATCCTGACAGTACAAGTACTTGATACTGTAATTTAATGGTTTTCTGGTGTAGTTAAGAATCCCATACTTCTGTGCTGAAATCTCTGTGATATTTTTGTTGGTATTGTTATTGGGTAATTGCTTGGGAGAAGCTTGTTTGTTTGGGAGAAGTGTTATTAGAGGTTAGGACAGTTAGATTTGCTTTTCAGTTTGTTTTTTGGTGGTGGTAATTTGCTTTAGGTTTTTTTTTTTTGTTTTGGTTTATGTTTATTTGATTGATTGTTTTTTCTGTTTGATATAAACCTTTAGACACTGAAATGGCCCTCTTGATAATTCTGCATATATCAATAGATTTTGTTTTCATAAAGCAAATTAATGCTTTAGCAAAGTGTCATTTAGATGTCTTTAAGGCAGTGTCTTTGTAGCAGCTCAGCACCTTTCTCTCACATGCATTGATTTCACAGAATCATTAGGTTGGAAAAAACCTCTGAGATCATCGAATCCAACCTTTGACCAATCAACACCTTGCCAACTACAGCATAGCACTAGATGCCATGTCCAGTCATTTTGTGAACACCTCCAGGGATGGTGA